AAAAAAAAAAAAAAAAAAAACACCGTTACAATCTAACTAAGTAGGATTTTTTTAAAAATAATTAAGAAAAAAACAACTCGACAACTTAACCCAATCTAACACGAAAATAGAGAGTTGTGTTGAGTTGTGAACTCTATTTAAATTGCTCTGACTTCAAATTTCTAATTGGTCAAAAAAATTTCCAACCTGCATCCACTTTTACTTGAACTTTAACAATGTCAAATAATTAATACGTATACCTTCATTTATATATGAAACTCTAAAAGTATTGATAAATTTATAAACTTTCGATTTTAAATATAACATGTGTTTTAATATTAAAAAGATGATATAAGTTTAATAACTCTAACATATTCAACATTTTTTTTTTTAATTTAACGAAGGTTTTAATGCAAAATTTATCAATCTGTAATAAGTTTAGTTAATTAAACATAAAATAAAAAAAAGTTTAGAAAATTATTAAATAAAGAAAACTCTCTCAGAATTAATAATAATGTGATAGTTTCTAGAAGATTTGGAATGTGGGTTTCAGTTGAGGATCACATGTGGCCCGAACTGTCACTCTAAAAACTTCCCCATCCATCAAACTTGTCTACATGAACTGAACCCAAAGTGCCACGTCATCTTCCAATCCGAGTCATCGGCTGACGTCATCGTTCTCCTTTCTTCCAATTTGACTCGTCGCCCGTTGACCCACCTTTTACTTTTAAATCTTCTAGGCTTTTTGCCTTCCCAAACCCATTTTTCTTATTAAATTATTATTATGAGAAATAAATGTGTTTTAACTCACAAATCTTATTTATTTTAAAAGAAATAAATATAAGTCTAGTTCAAATTACGTAGCTTCCGTTTAATACACGTATTTGAAATCATGTTATTATCTGGTAAATAATTGACACGAGTAGAGGCCTGCGGGCCCACGAGCGAGCAAGGGCCAAGAAGGGTGTGTGTGGGAAGTTAGCAAGAACGTGCAAGAGCTTATTAGGTCTATGCATAAACATAGTTCTACCTACTTCGACATCCTGTAATAGACAAAATCATTGACTTTGACTTAGTTATGTAAGATTTTCAGTCTCACGATTTTAAAATGTGTTTACTGTGGATAGCGTCTAGCCCTATTCCAACTAGTGTCTTCACACTGTTTGGGTGATTGACCATGATACTATTTTTAACCGACCAAACCAGCCAATATTCTTCAAATTGGCAAATAATTTTTTTTTTTTTTAACCTTTTCTTTTTGTTTCCAAGTCCTCTGCCATTTGATATCTATTTAACGCCAATAGAGACATCTTCCTGCCCAAGAAGCAGAGTTGTGGCCTCCTCCTTTCATGAACCACAATTTCCCTTCATTAATTCTTCTAAAATTTCCATGACTTCTTCATTATTTCACTGCCAAGACTCCGACTTCTCGCCGGAATCTTCCTTGAGCTCCTTCGAATCTCTCCGATGGGAAGCTTTTCAAACAAACGACAACTCTCTGCTCTTTAACGAGAATGATTCCGGCGAAATGCTCCTTCACAACTTGATCTCAGAGCCCACCTCGTACCCGCCGGCGAATTCTCTCCGGCAGGACCCGATCAAGGAAGAGGAGGTTGATTCGCTCGGAGAAGAAGAACCCCACAAGCCAAAATCCTACAGAGGAGTCCGCCGGCGTCCATGGGGGAAATTCGCGGCGGAGATACGGGATTCAACTAGGCATGGAGTTCGGGTTTGGCTCGGAACGTTCGATAGCGCCGAGGCGGCTGCTTTGGCTTATGATCAAGCCGCTTTCTCGATGCGGGGCGCGGCCGCTGTTCTCAATTTTCCAGTGGAAAGAGTTCAGGAATCTCTCAAGGAGATGGAAATGATCAACTCCGCCGCATACGGCGGAGACGGCGAATCTCCGGTGGTTGCTTTGAAGAGAAAACATTCTATGAGGAATAAATCAAGAAGGAGAAAGAGTAAAAATAAAGAAGACATTGGGAAAACAGAGAGTAATGTGGTTGTTTTAGAAGATCTTGGCTCTGATTATTTGGAAGAACTCTTGGAGCTATCTGAGAATCTCCGGCCATGGTGAATTACGGCTCGACATCTCGACCCAAAATCTCGAGATTATAAAAAATTATTTGAAAGGCTAGAACAACTGGACCGGTACCAGAAATAGCTACATTATCCATAATTTTTCCTTGCATTTTTCAAGCAAGTGAAAAATAACAAAATTTCATTTTTTTTTTTAATTTTATTTTAGTGTGAATGTATAAATTATATCCAACTAGTTTGCTTCGTTTTTTTGTTCCATTGTTATACGAAAGATTATGAGAAATTTGACCGAATCACCTAAAAAATTAGACCTAAATTTCAAAATAGAATTTTATAATTGACCTCTAATTTTCTCGCCCCTCCTCTTTCTAAATTACGAACAACATTCTTATAGTCTACCATCCTTCCATGGTTAATATTTTGATGTTGTCCACTGCGATTACTACTACAACCGAGAAGAAAGAGAGATGGAGCCATTGACAAGTCTCCCACTACTATATATATTTGAAAATTCTTCATAGGGTTAGATCTCTACACCACTATCAAATTCACTTATAACCAAGAAGAAAGATTGATCGAGGAAAGAAAAGACTTAGTCACAATGATAGTAAGACGAATCGTGAGGTTAACGGCGATACGTAAAGAGTTAAAGCGGACAATATCTACTAGCAGTTGCCTTGGACCCCTCTTTAACCGATGTGGGATCTCACAATTATCACACACTAATACCCGTTCTTTTAGCATATTGTATAAGGGTATGTGAAACACTTACTGCTGAATCTCTAAGAATTGTTCAAATTTGATGAATTTGACACATATGTTTAGTAAAAAAACCAAACTTAAACACTTTCATTTTCAAGTCATTTTCGAATCATTTTTCATAGGTGTATCATTGCACTTTTTTTCTTGTTTGAGACGAGGATTGTTAACTCGTTCAAAAAAGTTTTTCTTGTTTTAATATTATATCATATCCACTAAAGATTCTTCCACTCGAATCAGAAATGAAAAAAAATGAAAAAAATGAAAAGAGTAGACATATTTTCTTTAAAAGTTTACATGAAAAAAGAAAAGAAAAGATTGCAAACACGATTGCCAAGTGGCCACCCATTGCTGCTTTACAAAAGAAAGATGAGCACTAGAGTGCTAAAAAGCATACAACATTTGGGTTGCCAAAACCTCTTATTTTTGGTAATTAACTTACCTCAACACATAACTCAGTTGGCTGTAGGTGGCTTGTTGGGAGGTTGTATGGATATGGTGGCGGAAGCTATGGCCTTTTAGTTGCCACTGGTGGCCTTACCAACTTCAATTGGAGCTGCTCGAGGTTTGGGTGGTTTATGAATTGGACCGACTGGAGGCTTTGGTGGTTTGTGAATTGGACCAATTGGAGGCTTGGGTGGTTTGTCAATTGGACGGACAGGAGGCTTTGGTGGTTTGTCAATTGGATCGACTGGAGGCTTGGGTGGTTTGTGAATTGGACCAATTGGAGGCTTGGGTGGTTTATGAATTGGACCGACTGGAGGCTTTGGTGGTTTGTTAATTGGACCGACTGGAGGCTTGGGTGGTTTGTCAATTGGACCGACCGGAGGCTTGGGTGGTTTGTGAATTGGACCGACTGGAAGCTTTGATGGCTTGTGAATTGGACCGACTGGAGGCTTGGGTGGTTTGTGAATTGGACCGACTGGAGGTTTGGGAGGTTTGTCAATTGGACTGACTGGAGGCTTTGGTGGTTTGTCAACTGGACCGACCGGAGGCTTGGGTGGTTTGTCAATTGGACCGACTGGAGGCTTTGGTGGTTTGTCAACTGGACCGACCGGAGGCTTGGGTGGTTTGTCAATTGGACCGACTGGAGGTTTGGGAGGTTTGTCAATTGGACTGACTGGAGGCTTTGGTGGTTTGTCAACTGGACCGACCGGAGGCTTGGGTGGTTTGTCAATTGGACCGACTGGAGGTTTGGGAGGTTTGTCAATTGGACTGACTGGAGGCTTTGGTGGTTTGTCAACTGGACCGACCGGAGGCTTGGGTGGTTTGTCAATTGGACCGACTGGAGGTTTGGGAGGTTTGTCAATTGGACTGACTGGAGGCTTTGGTGGTTTGTCAATTGGACCGACCGGAGGCTTGGGTGGTTTGTCAATTGGACCGACTGGAGGTTTGGGAGGTTTGTCAATTGGACTGACTGGAGGCTTTGGTGGTTTGTCAACTGGACCGACCGGAGGCTTGGGTGGTTTGTCAATTGGACCGACTGGAGGTTTGGGAGGTTTGTCAATTGGACTGACTGGAGGCTTTGGTGGTTTGTCAACTGGACCGATCGGAGGCTTGGGTGGTTTGTCAATTGGACCGACTGGAGGCTTGGGAGGTTTGTCAATTGGACCGATTGGAAGCTTTGGTGGTTTGTCAATTGGACCGACTGGAGGCTTGGGCGGTTTGTCAATTGGACCGACTGGAGGCTTGGGCGGTTTGTCAATTGGACCGACTGGAGGCTTTGGTGGTTTGTCTATTGGACTGACCGGAGGCTTGGGAGGTTTGTCTATTGGACCAAGTGGAGGCTTTGGTGGTTTGTCTATTGGACCAACTGGAGGCTTGGGAGGTTTGTCTATTGGACCGAGTGGAGGCTTTGGTGGTTTATCAATTGGACCAATTGGATGCTTGGGAGGTTTGTCAATTGGACCGATTGGAGGCTTGGGAGGTTTGTCTATTGGACCAACAGGAGGCTTTGGTGGTTTATCAATTGGACCAACCGGAGGCTTTGGTGGTTTGTCAATTGGATCGACCGGAGGCTTGGGTGGCTTGTGAATTGGATCAACTGGAGGCTTTGGTGGTTTCTCAACTGGACCCACAGGAGGCTTAGGTGGTTTGTCAACTGGACCGACCGGAGGCTTGGGTGGTTTGTGTATTGGACCGACCGGAGGCTTTGGTGGTTTGTGGAGTGGAGGCTTGGGTGGTTTGTGAATTGGAGCTATCGGAGGCTTAGGTGGTTTGTGAAATGGACCGGGAGGTTTGGGTGGTTTGTATATGGGAACTAGGGGAAGCTTGGGGGGTTTGTAAATTGGAATTGATGGTGGGTTTGGAGGTTGAGGCTCACCGGCGTTATCTCCAACGGCCGGCCTGGTGAGAACCACCGCGAGCAGGCCAAGAAGGAGAGCTAACAGGTAGGAGGAAGTCATTTTTGTGGGTTTGTGATTAAGAACTTGAAGGAAATGACACGTATTTAAAGACACAAATATGAGGTTAATTATTATTTTTTATATCTTTTTTAACACTAACTAACACCTTTTGTTTGAGGTATATATATCAATAATTTTTTCCCCCAATCAGTTAATAATTGCTTTTGCTTTACTTCAAATTACATTTTCATCTTTAAAGTGGATTTGTTTTTTTTATAATTATTACAATACTTTTTTTTCCTACAAATGAAATAATTATTATTGTTATTTATGTTTTTAGGAATTCTAAGAGAAACCATTATCTTGATGAATATATTTGCTTTTTATTTGTTTTAATTAAGATTATAAATAGCTTAAAAACTTAGATATAAAATTAAAATGTTATAAAATTTTAAAGGTTCAATTATTAAGTGAAAAAAGAGTAAGAAACATAAATAGTAATTAAATAAAGTACAGTTTTGTCGGCAGTGAAGTATGGGACTAAAATTTAAAAGTAGTGAGGACAAAGAAAAGTAGAAAATTTTGAAATTTGAGCCAAATGGATTCAAATTTCAAACTTGTAGTTACTTTTTCACTTGCTTATGTTTCAATCTTTGTAAGTAACTTCTTACTTACTCAAATAAATATATTTCCGCGGCGAACGTCTATTAGAGAGAGATTTTCATACACTTATGAGGATCTTTCGCTCATCTCTCCAACCGATGTGAGATCTCACAATCTACCCCTTGAGAGTCAGTGTTCTTATTGGCACATTGGCTAGCTCTAATACCATTTGTAACAGTCCAAGCTCACCACTAGTAGATATTGTCCGTTTTAGCCCATTACCTATTATCGCCAACCTAATTATTTTAAAACTCGTCTACTAGGAAGATGTTTTCATATACTCTTATAATGAATGTTTCATTCTCCTCTCCAACCGATGTGGGATTTCACCGGGCCGAATTGAAACTGGTAATTTTAGGCGTGGAGTAGTCAATATGAGAATAATTTAATAAATAAGTCACTAATTATCATAAAATTAAAAAATGTGGGTCATCGAGAGGTATTTGGTAATATTCTATTTATTATTTCTTATAGTTTTTAGAGCGAAAGATTACGATTGTATTGGTTATTACATACCATTGCTCACCCATTAAGTATAATATAGACAGTCAGCTGCAACGTCTAATCCTCAGAAGGGAGAGAGAAGCCTTATTGGAAATATACTCGATATAGTTTCTCATTTGAAAATATATACTCAATACATGCATCATTGTTCGAGTGGGTGACGAGTAGGATACAATCTTTTATGCATTAAAAGTGAAAGAAGAAGTAGAGAATTGAAAGGGAAGGGAGTGGAATCTTTGTACGTTGATGATAGTAACCAAAGAACACAGTTAGATTGGGAAATGCCCAATTACATCAATGTTTCGGCTGTCGGTGGTTGGATATACAATAATTTGAGTATTATTGGAGAGCTGAATTATTGATAGACACCGCATCCAAATATATTGTTTAGAATCTGGAAAGATGGGACTAAAGTAAGAGGCAACAGTCGTGGAACTCATCGACTGCTTGTACGTAGTCAGCCTTTTGGGTGGCCTACGGTGCTTCCCCTTGCCGGCAGATCAAACAAATGGGTACTGGATACTGGAGTTGACATTAAAACAAACAATACATAAATGAGGTCTCAATTCGACCAACAAACCTACATTTCAATTCCCAGATTTAGCTCATTTATGTTCTTTTCATCCTATAGATTTAAACTGAGTTTCTATTCGGTTTCTAAGTTCTTAAAAATTTAATTTTTTAGTTCGATGTTTGAAGTTGACTTTTAATTCGTGTTTGAAAATTGAAATTTGGTTGGAACAGTTCTATGTTGGGTAGCTTATAAAGCATGTGTGTAATAACTCAATCTCGCTGCTAATAGATATTCTCCCATTTGGCTCGTTAGGTATCGCACTCAGCCTCACGATTTTAAAACGTTTCTACTAGGGAGAGATTTTCACATCCTTATAAGAAATTTTTCGTTTTCCTCTCCAATCGATATGAGATCTCACAATCTGCCCCCCCTTATGGGCCCAATGTTATTGCTGGCACATTGCTCAATGTTTGACTCTCATTCCATTTGTAACAGTCTAAGCCTACAGCTAGCAATATTGTCTTCTTTGGTCAATTACGAATTATTGTCAGTCTCACGGTTTTAAAATACGTCTCATAGGAAGAGGTTTTCACACTCTTATAAGAAATGTTTCATTCCTCTCTCCAATCGATGTGGGATCTCATAGTGTGAATGAAGACAAAACATGTTGAAATGATCTATATTGGTCTTTGGGAATAGTCTTCACTTTTCGAAACTAAAAGTAACAGGATCACATGACAGTGGATAGTGTGAATGAAGATAAAACATATTGAAAGGATCCATATTAGTCTTTGGGAATAGTATTCACTTTTCGAAACTAAAAGTAACCGGATCACATGACTGGTGAAGTGGAAAATACTAAGCGATGGAGTGATTTATGATAGTATGTGAGGTTGCTTATGGTAATGTCATGCATGACTAAAGCAATGAATGACTGAAAATTATAATGCAATGGGAACAATGTCTGAAAATTATTCCTAAGTTATTTCGATTTATTTTCTTTAAAGTTTTGTTTAGATATTAAGGGGGTTCGAAAAAATTCATGACTTGAAAAATTCGATCAACAATCAATCTAATCTAACTTGTACGATTTAGGTTGAGTTACGAATTATTTAGGTCAAATTGAGTTCCAATAAATGGAAATTTTATAGATTAGCTCGGTGCATTCGTTCTCTTAAAACTAGATTGGATTGAATCGAACCTACTCGAATTTATTGTCAATTTTAAAATATATATATTATTTTGTTGGTGGGGTTAGATTCATAACTTCAACTTTGTTTTATCTACCTTGATTTCCTTTCTCAGTACTATACCTTATATTAGGACGGTACAAGAACTCACAAACTCAATATAGATGAACACCAAAAACGGAGAAAATGTAATCAGTTTATATTGATAACTTGAAGTATGTACAGTAACAAGAATACATAAAGTACATCTTCAAACAACTGACTAAGGAATATATGCATGATTCAGTTTATTATATATAGTTTTATCAGATATAATCATCTACTATATATATAACTATCTACCATATAATTTTATTATACCGTTATTTAATATATATGACTATTTACTATATATCTGGTATATCTACTGTGTATAACAATAAGCTATAAATAACTATCAACATCTACCATGAAATGACACTTCTCCACAATTTAGTACTAGATTCACATCTTCTCTTCTTAAGACCAATTCAAGTTGATTTAAGAAAGTGATGAATGTTTCACGAACTCCGTAAATCATTCCTGAATATATTTGAAGTCTTTTCCATTATAGGTAAAAAATGTCATCATGAACTGATAAAATATTGTCGGTGCATTTAAAGAGATCAAAAGACATATTTATGAAATCAAAAGTTTTGAATGAACATGTAAAGTTCTTATTGTAATATTTGATTATAGTCGAACTATTCGTCAATCGATCACAATAGTTGGATTAATCTCGAGCAAAACGACTATAATAGGAGAGTAGGCCCACTCGTTATAGAGAAGGAATAGAAGCAAGCTAGTTATTCTTGCGATCGGAAAAAGCGTGAACTAAAGAGACAATATATAACTTTTTATTATTCTTGCTATCGAAAAAAGCGTGAACTAACTTTTTATTGAATGATAGATGAGAGAAGTGAAGGATAATGCATTGATAACAGACCCAGAAGGAGTATGGAGATATAACACAACATATGGCACATGCCAACTTCAAATGAACTTACTACACAACTTAAACCTCGTAAACTTACCCTAAACTTGGGAAACTTGGGCGCCGCCGACTGCAGCGGCGCTTATTTCATAGTCATAATTTTGTGGGTGGCGTTTAGTTGGAGGATGGTGGGTACTTCTTGTATGGGGGGCGTTTCTTGTAGGGTGGGTACCTCTTGTAGGGTGGGTACCTTTTGTAGGGTCGCTTCCTGTAGAACTTGGATTCCTCATGCTCCAACGCAGGCTCGGTGTCGGTGGTGCTCGGAAGCTTTTGGTTGGTGACCGGAATCACTTCATGGGCAGCGTCGGAGGGATGTTTCAGAGCTTGAGTGGTGGTAAGAAGCACCACTGCGAGAAGAAGCAAAAGGAAGTACTTCACAAACATTGTGGCTTTTGGGTTTGAGCTGCCTGTTTGGAAGCTGAAACTTGTTGGCTTTTTATAGGAAAACTTGAGGTTAATTTTAAAATTAATTAATCCTAAGACAAGTAGTTTGTGTGAGATCTCACGCCCTTTGGAGAAGAATATCTAAATACTTCTATGTGGAAACTTCTCTCGATTTTAAGAACCTTAAGGAAAGTTCAAAGAGAACAATATCGGCTAGCGGTGGATTTGGACTCTTACAAATGGTATCAAAGCCATACATCAGACGATGTGTCAACGAGGACGCTGAGCTCCAAAGGAAGTAGACATGAGGGGCCAGACATCGGGCCATGTGTAAGCGAGGAGGCTAAGCCCCGAAGGGGAATGGACATGAGAGGCCTGATATCGGTACAATGTGTCAGGGAGGAGGCTGAGTCCCAAAAGGATGGACATGAGGCGATGTACCAGTAAAGACGATGGATTTCGAAGAGAGGGATTGATTTGGTGGTGTCCCACATTAATTAGAGAAATGAATGAGTGTCAGCGAGGACTTTGTGCCCCAAAGGAGGTGGATTAAAATCCTACATCGATTGGGAAGAAGAACGAAAAACGAAAAATTCATTATAAGGGTGTGAAAACAACACTCACGAAAGCTTAAAAAGATAATATATGTTAATGATAAGATTGGACGGAATATTATTGAAATAAATACATAATTAATGGCCTATATTACTTTAAATAATGTCAAGTGGCTCTCATTATCACAACACTAGTGGAACGATCATCCACGCAACCACATCTTAGATTTCATATTAAA